GGTTTATGAGGCTATGAAAAAGAGTTTAGAACTTGATTAGGGGCTGAAATAGCCATACCCTGTGGCAACTAAACTGATGTGAGATCCGGGTATAGCAATGCTGTTGATGACGAAAATTAAGAATAAGATTACTAGTCAAGTAGGCAATACAATTTGTTGAATTATACAATAGACAGTAATCCCCATCAGGGCTCGAGGCACATAGTTTTGTTAGCGAGTTTTTCCAGAGAACTATTTGAGGCAAGTGGACGAACAAGTTTATATGAATCATTGTATTTGACTGCAAGGTAATATCAGAATGGAGGGGCTCTTATTCCTTTAGCCTTGCCCCCACCCTCCGGAACTTTAACGCTTGTTATTGTTATTCATTCCAAGAAAAAAAAAACTCTATAGATCATAATTCATTGCAGAAACAACGTCTTTTACATAATTTCTTGAACTTGAGGAGTGAATGGCGTGTGAATTATATGATACGACTGCACGGCCAACAGTAGATGGGTTTGGAGGATATATTGAGTTGGAGCATGATATATGTCATAGCATGCAAGAGCTGCATAGCAAGTTACTGCCATTGTTTTCCACAGATTCATTTACAAGTTATGTCCTGTGTTCTAGATTGCCAATTAACGTTGTTTGCGCTAGTGCTGCTCTCTGGCCTGTCGTAATCATCAGCTACCGGGACAAGTAAACTCTATGAACATAAATCATCAAATTGTGCTGTTGGCCAAATATTACGCAACCTTAAGCTGTGCTTTGCTATTCTAGCCATTTGTATGAGAGAATTTATCCTACATGGCTTGACCATGTCAGAGCAGGTATTCTGGTAATGTTGATGAACTTGTGTTCTTGTGTTTGTAGGGTGATTATCGATGTCTGAAAGCTGAACTGTTTCGTAATATGCCCTTTTATTCTATGCCCATTGTGTGTGCGCGAGAACAAGTGAAGTTTGAATGACAGGAAATCAAAAGAGGGGGAGTATTCTCACGTCTTGATGAACACGTACGGATTTTAGTTTGTAGCCATATTCGCTATTGTCGAAACTAGAGGTTGTAATTGTGCATTGAATAATGAGTTCTGTGGCTAAATCTTCGAGACATGGGGATTTTGTGCATCTGATAAAGAGCGGAAAGAAAATAAAGATAGCATCACGTAGAAAATCCACACTAGCATTATGGAAGCAGCCACATTTTACAGGAAGAAGTACGGCTTTTCACAGCTTAAACCTACTAGTACAGAATTCATGACTGAAAACATAACCAGTTTATGCCAAGGATGACATGAACACAAAAGAATTAAGAAAACCGGAAGAAAGGCTTGGCCTTCCCTTTGCCTCAATGACTTGCCTTGTGTCCCCTTGCATCCCGTGAAGGAAGAAGAGGTTAGATAACATTATCCAACACTTGAAATTCTCATCACCATCTTCTTCCTCTTCCTCTTCCTCTTCCTCTTCCTCTTCCTTCTCTGCATGTTTTAGTGCTGCAAAGATCTATTATTTCAGATAGAAGCAAACAGCTACTAGAAGTGGGAATTTAGTCTTGGTTCAGTCTGTCCAACATTCATAGTATATAACCACCTTGGACCTAAGAAACAGAAGTGAAGGTACACTCATTTAAATCTTTGTTTAATCCACACTTCACCTCAATAACTGAACATAAAGCCAAAAGAGAACAGATCAGAAAGAAAACCAAACCCTTAAGAACGGGTCCCAAGAGGCATCATTCTGTCATTGAGGCATGCTTATCCCACTAAGGACCCTATGATTATTCTTCTTTTTTGTAAATCACACCACTCTATCTACCAAGAGAGTGAGAGCCTAATCATTCCACGTGGAGAAAAGCCAAAGACATGGATAGTAAATTCAAGAGTGGTAGAGAAAAAGCTTGATGACAGATGCGAGGCCAACCCTAGAAAGAAGATAAAAAATTGTAAGCTTGGAAGGTAGTTAAGAGGAGTTCATGGCAACAAAATAGATAAATCAATATGCCTCTTCCTTTTTAAAGGGTACAATTGCTTTGCACCGTCCACCTATGACTCCATTTTTTGTATTTGAACGTGAGAATCTGTGTCTCAAATAGCACTAATCCATGTGAAGAAGCTAAATGTGGAAAGAACGTGCGTGGAGAATAGTCAAAAAGACAGAAACTAATCTTTTTTTTGAATGTTGACAAGTGATAAGGTACAATTATATGGTTTGAACTGAGAGATGAAGGATTCTATGATGTTTCTTCCTCCCCTCTTTGCTGCTTCGAAATTATAAGTTGATGTAATGCAACCTTTTTAGTCCTTCAAATAATTGATGGGCTTGGCTTGTGGACAGCTTGGATAAGCCTTTCTTTATTTCCTTTTTCAGTGAAAGAGAGAGATGGCTTTTTCTGCAATGATAGCTTGGTTTTGCCCTTTCAAGCTGTCTTGTAGTTGCAATGGAAATATTTTAGTCTATTTCATCAGATTATTATACATGGATTAGTCCTGTCCGCACTCGACAGAGACCGGATGTGTGTAGCAATTTCTCCTCTTAGATTGACAAGTTTTTCACAAGTAAAGGTGATTTTTTTTTTTTTAGCATTGAAGTCAAAATATTTTTTTTATATTTTTATATTAGAATTAAAAATATATATTTTAATTCATTTCAAAACAAAAAAATATTTTAAAAATAATTTTTACTGTATTTTCAAACACGTCCAATAATTATTCACCTTAAACGCTAGTTATTAAATTATTATTTTTTTAATTTAAAAGGATGTTAATTTAATATGTAAGAACAGGTTAAATTCAAGAAATTATCTTTTAATCTTATTTAAAAATAATGTTATTTTAAAATAATATGGTTTGATTTCACAACTACTAAGTTGATTGTCACTTAATCTAACAAATTTTTTAAGTCTTAGTCTGTTCAAGTCTGAAGAGGGTATAATAAGTACTGTTCTATAGAAGGTCTTGATTTATGTGTATTTGATAGTCTAATTATAATTATTTTTTAAATAATTTTTTATTTTTAAATATATAATACATATTAAATTTTAATAAAAAAATTATTTTTTTTTAAAAAGACAGTGCAAACCGCGTTCCCAAACGGATGGGAAGAAATTGGTTGCAAAACTCGTGCACTGTTTTTTTATGCCGGGCCTCCCTCAAAGTGGTAAAAGGGACTTGCAAAATGAAGCCCAAGAACCTGCCTACTGCCAAACCGTCCTTCAAGCCTATTTCTGAACCTCTTGCATGTAAAAGAAATAGCTTGGAGAGACCCCCAGAAAACCAGGGGTGTTTAAAAAAAATTCATCAACATCTTACCGATCAAACTTGTCAATATCAAAAAAAAATATTATAAAAGTTAAAAAATCAAAAAATCGAAGAACTGAATATCAAAGATTGAGTGACAGTTTTAGATTTTTAAATCTCGATCAACTAGACTTAATTCGTATAATTTATATTCTTTTTTGTATTTATATTTAATAGTTTTTGAGCATTTATTTTTATTTTATTTAGAATTATTTTGATTTTAAAATTCTTGTTAATGGATTTTTTATTAAAAATACAAAAAAAACTTGTCATAACACCTACAGAAATTACAGTTTCATCTCTGAATACAGATATACAAAAATTAGTAATATAAGTTAAATGATGGATATTTATAATAAAAAGGGAGATTATTGTGAGGAGGCTATTGACTTTGTTTGATTTTATGGTGGATTTAAAGATTGGGCCTGATGATTTTGCTTTGATTTCAACACTTTCTGCTTGTGCAAAGCTAGGAGAACTTGAAAAGGGCAAGAAAGTACATGATTTTATTGAAAGGAATGCAATAAAAGTGGATTCCTTTTTGTCAACTGGGTTGGTTGATTTGTATGCAAAATGTAGGTGCGTTGACATTTTTCTTTGAAGATATTTGAATCGATCCCAGATAAAAAGTTGTTTACTTGGAATGCAATGCTTGTTGGCCTTGCAATGCACGGTGAGTTTTTTGTTGGAGTACTTTCTGTGAATGATAGAGGCAGGGGTAAAACTAGACGGGATTAGCATTTTAGGAGTTTTGGTAGGGAGTCGTCAGTCATGAGGGTCTTGAAGATGAAGCAAGGAAGCTTTTTGATGAGATGGAATCTGTTTATGGAGTCCCTCGAGAGCCCAAGCATTACGGACAGGTGCATGGCTTATTTGCCTGGGCGAGCTGGGTTGATCAAAGAAGTGACGGAAATGATAAAGGATATTCCTAAGGGTGGTGATATGTCTGCGTGGAGTGGTTTGCTTGGTGGGCGTCGGATACATGGGGATGTTGAGATTGCAGAGAAAGCAGCGAAGCTCAAGTTGGTACTGGTCTGGTTTCTGTGCATTGGATTAATAGGTTACTTTTGTTAGTTGAAGGCAGGAGTATTTTTGCTGCTAGGTTTCCAGCTCCAGTCTCCTGTATTTCCAATTCTTCTGCAATACAAAAACAAAAAAAAGCTTTTGAGGATGGCTTTGCACAGCATCCTATGATCGATTTGGGTGTACTTGGTCCAAGCGGGCAGAGAATCTATTGATAAGTTAGAGTGAAAATATCAGCAAATATCGAATGGAACATGGCTCAAGAGTTGTGGATAGTATTTCTACATATTGTAGAACAGAAGAGCAGATTCATATCCTTCGGAATATACCATATGGTTATAACTTTGTAGGAGAACAGGAATGAGAGCGGTGCTCAAAATTTCTTTATAACATTTCTTGGATGTTTAATGTGTATCAGGCAACATTTGCAGAGTTTAGTTTAGCTCCCCGGTTGCAAAAGGCCAGTCCAGTCTTTTCCTTCCTTGAACAAGAACAGAGAGTGAAGGACCCCACTTGACCCCTCTAAGACCCTCTGCTCTCAAAGATAGTTTCCAATGGTGCTTGGGGAAACTCTTCATTGGATAAGGATCCTTCTGTCATATTATTACAAAAGGTTGTAGCAGGACACGACGTGCCACTTCCTAAGCCATCTACTGGGTGTTGTCTTGCTAACACTTCAACATATGTCACTTCAGGATCCACGCTCTGCTACGTGGCTCTATAACTCTCTCCTTCTAATCATCCCGCCCTTTTTATACCCCCAAGAACCCAAACCCTTTCCTTCAGCAAGCAAGCAAAGCTTAGAATCTTCATCTCGCCCAACCTTCGTGTTTTACACCTCAGACAACATTTCTCATCACTCCCATCGTGGCTTTTAGATCAATGGTGGTGAATTATCAATAATTTTCATTTTAATTACAATGTTGACCTCATTTTCTGAGTGTTTTTATGCATGTACTTGGTTTCTGACTTGATTTGCTTCATATGGTTTGCAGGGTTACTGGAAATCAATGGCTAGTCGCTTAAGAGGAACGGCGACATATGCAACATCAACCCCACCAAAACTGAAGTCATATGCAGCAACAGCTGATCAATTCGGACATCAGTATCATCAAGAAAGCAAGCACAGCAAGAAGGTAAGAGGTGACTTTGTGCCAGTTTATGTAGCAATAGGGATGATAACTGTCTCAATATCTCTTGGTCTTTACACTGCCAAGCAACAAGTACTGTATGCACCGAATGTTCGTGCAAGGAAGAAGACACGAGAGACTGTACCTGAAGTGGTTGATCCTGATAAAGTGGTGGATGAAGCTGATAAGTTTATCAAGAAATCTTTCTTCAGGAAAGTAGCACATGTTCAAGAGTTTGATCACAATGGGCTCCAGTATTTGCCTGATCCTTTTCGTAAAGACGTTTTCGCTCAAAAGCCTCGTGCTGAGACCCTTAAAGATGTTGGGGTTGATCCTAAATCACAGCTTTGAGCTGTTCTGGAAAAAATGCATCTCTTCTGCTCTTCCTTTTCTTTTTCTTTTTCCATTTCCCATGTTCCTTCTTAGGGTTAACCTCCTGCTTGTGCAGGAGGGAGGGAATATGCTGGACCTCCTTACTTGACCGATGCGATTCTAAATACAAGTGATTAAAATAAAGTCTATTGTCCATGTCCTTCCGAGACTTTGGGCTAAGTCTTCCAAGCTTTATTTTTAATTTTAAATGGGTTTAATGGATAGATGGGTTTAATTTAGGACTCTCGTGTATGGTGTACGCAGGTGATTTATGACTTTATGTCGTGCACCATTTTATTTATTTTTAATTAATGTGGGTGTATGCAGCTTGTTTCTTGAAGATCTTGCACCAGTGACCCATATTTCCCATTCCTAATATAAATGATTTTAAGTATGTTGGAAACTTATTTAACGCTGATGAATGATATAAAACTACATCTTGGTTTAACAATCACACACAATCTAATAGTCTTTACTTTGTCTGACCCGATACGAGTTCCACTCTAGCAAAAGGCCCGGGAATATAAGTCATCGAATCAACTTGTGAGTTAGAATAATAATTTTTTATCAAAGCAATTTAGTTTGTTTTTCAATAAAAATTATTGGTGTTGATTCAAGTAAGCCTATACTAGTTTTAATTGGATGATAAATCAATTTAGATTATTCAAATTTAATTAAAACAATATTAACATCAATTTAAATTGCAATTTGTTGAGGTTAAATTTCTAGTTATAGATTTGTTAGATCAACTAACTAAACCAATCAAATTTAATAACTATCATATTTATATATTCTATAACACCTGATAATAACAAGATATTACTGATAATAACAAGATGTTATATTAAAACAACCCTGAGAGATATAACTTAATTAGTTAGGTTTTAGGTTTATTTTCTAGAAATTACTAATTCAAGTCTTATAAATCTCAAGACTACAGGAGATTTGTATTATCATTAACTTCAGAATTTATGAAATTAGTCAAAATTCATACAAACTGATCCAAACACCTATATTAATTTATATGGCCCACGCTCAACTAGCAAGTCATGCTCGGACACCCGGCCCTCATTTATTTTTAATTAGGGGGTGTGCTTGTCACACAATTAAGAAAATAAATATACCTACAAGCGCTTGAACCCGTAACCCTTAGTTGTCACGTGTTTTGACAGATTGAGCTCTATCTTGGATTTTGTATAAATTGTCGACTTTTTTTTTTTTCAAGTGACAGGTTGTCTATCACAATTAAAAAAATAAGCACGTCTACTTGCACTCAAACCCACAGCCTCCTAATCGTCAAGCATTTTAATTGATTGAACTACAACTTAGATTTGTTATATAAATAATTAAGAAAACATATTAAAATACTTTACTTTTTATATCAACAATAAAGCATTATAAATTCAAAAAAAAGACCACAATGTTTTAGTTAAGACTAGTCTCAATGTCCAAGATGCGGGCCGGATTATATTTTTTTGTCCAAAAAATAATATTTATATTCCGTGTATTTTTTTTTTAAAAAAATATATTACTCGGTTTATAAATATAATTGAGTTGAATAAATTGATTTTATTTTAATTAAATAAAAAATAATAATAAATTAATTAAATTTAAAATAAAAAATAGTTAAGATAATCTAAGAAAATATTTTAAAAAAATTAATATATCTCAATCCATAGACCATTAAATATTAAAGAACATAATAAGAATAAAAAGAACAAAAAAAACTAGTCCTAGTTTACATGAGCTAGCATAATAAACAGGTAATCCCATATTTAAGATTAAGCTAATTCGAGATATCCAATCAATCTTATTATCTAAATCATGAAAATATAATAACAAATAAAGAGAATTATAAAATATTTTTAAAAAATTGTGTTAAATTTTAAACTTGTGACCTGTGTCATTAGACTCGGATCACTTTATATGTAAAAACTATAAAATTTAATTTTTAATTAATTAAATATTGAATGATGAAATAAAAAAAAATTAATTATATAAAATGATTTAAAAAATAATAATTAAAAAAATAAAGATCAAAATTAAATTATAAAATAAATTTTGTATAATAATAGCATGTGCCCGATAGGTTGGAATATTATTATTAATAATAATCTTATCAGAATCCAATCCTCTAATGGATTTGCCCCAGAACTCCTCGTTCTCATTATCCTGGACCAACTTGGCGTGAGGCTCAATACGGACTAGATGCAGAAGCATTTTATCTCTTAAAATGGAAGATTTGATAAGCCTGCTGCAAATAATGCACCTTGAGATTAATGGGATTAAGGATTGCATTTAACCTAAACTCGATTAATACTGAATTGAACCGACTCAATGAATGATTATATATATATAATTTTATGTTGGATAATAAATACTACCAAAATAATAAATATTCAAAATCCAATGAATAAAATGAGGATATCAAAAAAATTTACACAATAAGCGTTTAAAAAGATATAAATACAGTACAACTCAATCCGGAAATGGTGATTATCTATTCATAAACAGAATTTATTTATGGGAGCTTCAAGAATTCCATGCATGATTTGATTTTGCATCAAATCATAATCGAAGACCAATTCGATCTTTAGAAAGCGTATTTTTTGGAAGATGAAGCTATAAATCTCGAACGAAACTAGTCTTACTCTTTAAAGAGTGTGAGTATATCCGGATAGGAAAAAAAAATCATGCACCGACCAATTCGATCTTTAGAAAGCGTATTTATTGGAAGATGAAGCTATAAATCTCTAAAAGGATGTGAGTGGAAAAAAAATCATGCAAGGATCTTCATTTAGTAATCTAATTTTGCATATTGATTATAGAAACAATGCAAAAGGAAATGGGAGATACTTAGACCTGAAGGAAGCATGGCTAGAAGCTTGATAAAAAGAAAACCAACTTCTTTTTTAATTTTATGAAAACTTTTAAGCAATTTAGAGCTGACAATAGCTCCACCTTCTCGCAATGGATGCTCAAATTCTGATTTCTCTGTATTGAACACCATAATCAGCAGGGTTGACAATGACAAAACCAGCTTGCAATTAATTTATTTTTTTATTTCCTGTTGTCTGAAGAATTGATACTCTAAATATATCAAATAAGATATAGTTTAAAAAGGAAAAGGTTTGTTTTAGTGCTCTGCTTGGTGATACATAGTAGCTAGCACTTCCATCGTTGAAAGGTAAAGGAGATGGGACTTACTCTTTCAAAATGTGAAAGTGTTTTTACTGCAGAAGAATCATTTCAATTAAAAAAATCTAACCCATTTTATGGTCACAATCTAATGCATTTCAAGCGAAAGACTTTCGGATTTAAAATTTATTTAAGTTCATCACTACGTGTTCTTGATTTCATTACAAACAGAGGGAATTAAACTCATGATTACTTTCCAGCTTTTATTACAGCTAATAGTTTAGATGAAAAGGTTTGTGTAAGTGCTCTGCTAACGCTAGATGAGCAGCTCTCCCAACCCTGAAGGGTAAGGGAGATGGGATTTCAAAAATTCAAACTGTGAAAGTATTACTTTATGTGTCGTATGTCACCTAGATGATGCAAGTAAAGAAGAATTTATGGGCATCATTACACCAGCAGGCACTATTCATTTAAGGTTTCCTCCTTAATTAGTTAAGAAGTGGTTTGAATCGATTAGGACATATGGGAAGATCAGATGCTTGTTCTAGTCAATTTAAAACCAAATGGATATCCAAAATGTACTCCAAATTGCGATATAGCGCGTTGCAAGGCTGGTCTTGATTTATTCTTTCTAGCATGGATTCCAAGTCTAGAAGTACAGAGCTGCTAAAGTCAATTTCTAGTGGCCTTTTGTTGTTTCAAGGTTTCACCAGATGGGTTTTTTTTTTAAAGAATGAGTTTTCGTACCCATCAAGGTTAAATTCCCATTAATCTTCACTTGACTTTTGAAGTAGGGCATGAGTTAATTGATATATTCGCCATAAAGTTGGCACCCATACAGCTTTGCCAGCAGTTTTAGAAAGGACAAAAAAAACAGCAGCAGAAAATATCTTTGTAATGGAGACTGAACAGTAAGGTGCGTATCTCTGTAAGATTTGATCATTGACATAGAAGATAATGCAGTAGGATAAAGAAAATGATGTTGTTATAGGGAGATTCGAAGAGAATTTCTACAGCAAGTAGGCAAACCAATCTATATATAAACCCCATGAAGGTTCATATTTTAAGCATAGCAGCCAATGACGAGGGCTTTCATGGATGCTACTACATGGTTGGAGAAGCTTCCGATCTCCCTCAAAGGCTTCCTCTATAATTGCCTTACATGGTGGCATTAGTGGACTCCTTTAGGGAGATGGAGAGCTTACTCCCCATAGTTCAATGGCATGACACAACTTCAATAAATTTAACTGTATGCATGACTGGAAATGAGGTTTTAATTTGCTTGGCCTCATATATTCTTTATTTCAAGACTTCAGAGATTATATGTAAAGGGAGGAGCAGATATAAAGAGCCTGCAATTTCAAACAAACAGTTCTGACAAGTTCCTCTCATGAGTTTTTCAGCTCGGAGCAGAAATTTATGAACATTTCACAGGTAAATTTAGTTTTATACGGTGCAAATTGATTCACCTCACAAATGGTTGAACGCGGCGTTTCAAGTATCAGAATCCCTTCATTAAGATGTTCAGTATTTTTTATGTTCATGGCTCAACTCTCAATTATTAATAGATGGAAGGAAGATCATCTCCATAGTTTCAAGCTCTTCCCCCCCTTGGATCGGAGGCATGAATGGTGAGAGAGCAGCAGTGGAGCCATGGCCTGTAATATGCTAGATAGGTGAAAACTATTTCCATGCTAGCTTAGTAATTGAGCTACTTTATGAATCTCCAAAGTGTCACTTCCATGGCAAGTAATCTAGGACATCATTTACCATTTGAATGTTACCTATATATTCTTGATCCCATTTGCTCACATAACAGGATCTTAAGGTGTTTATGCCCGTTCAGCACCAAATGCCTGAAGTACTATCTCAATTTTCGTTTGTGATGTTTTGAGGGAGACATTTATAACCTATTATAAAATCATATATAATGAATGTTTTGCAGCTATCACACGGCTGGGGTAACATGGGCGTAAGGACACATCAAGTACTCTTGTAATGCAGAATTGTTGTTTCACAAGAATGAAGAGGACCACTTGTC